AGCATTGCAGAGGAGAAAACAGAACCAACTTCCTCCTGATTGCCTCCCAATCAAAATGGTCACACACTGTCTCCTTTTCTGCACAGGCACTGTCTTATTGGATAAGAGAAAGAAGCTAGGAGGAATCAGGGCATTTGGTGCGAAGACCTCTTCAGCTAGCTCACAGTGCGTGACCACACGTGCCAGCACCCACCTGGGAACCACTGCTCAATCAGAGAGTTGACGTGGTCGGTTATGAAGGCCATGGCGGAGAAATCCCTGGTCTCTGACTGGCAGATGATCTTTATGCCCCCACTCTTTGTCCTCCTCCAGTTGACATCTGATGACTCCACACTGCAGAGACACAAACATGCGTTCAACCATCCAATTGTCTGTTCAAACACTAGTGGGTGGGCAAATCTCTTCACAGCAGCTGACTCAGCAAATTATCTTTGCATTCATTTGTAGCCCTGGGTCCACTGTGATAGCTTTGGAGGACTGAGGGCAGTGTACTGATTAGGCTTTAGACTGTTCCTAAATCACCTGCTCCCAGTAGACCCATCAACACACTAAACAGCAGCGTTTATCTTTTACTTTTAAAATGTTCTCCCATGTCCACAGCTGGCTGCTCTCTAAGGCAAGAACCGCTGCCGTGCCTCTGACCTGAGGTAACCCCCGTCGAAAGTGACCAGGAGCCCCTCCTTCCAGTAGATGGTCTGGCTGCGCCTCACTCTGAAGGTGCTGCAGCGGTTTCTCTGCTTGCTTCCTGCAAAGCTGTAGATCACTGAGCCCCGCCGTTGGCTTCTCGTGTCCCTTGAGATCTCGAATGACTGCAAAAAAAAGAAAAAAAAAAGCAACACTTCAGATTTGGGAAATAGAAAAGCTGAATGGAGTCAGACAGAGGACCGGACGTGAACCTGCAGGTCCATCTCTTTGAGGCTGATGAGCATTCTGGCGATGAATCGCTCCCAAAACCCCGCAGGGACGAAGCTCATCTTAAAGAGGCGTTGCAGGGTGTTGTTGGTCTGCTGGTGGAGGCGGTGGATGTCCATGGCTGGCTTTGGGGGAAGGAGGTGTGGCAGCAGATAGCTGCATCGAGAGGAAAAGGACCAAAAACAGCACACTGATGGTTACAATGTGTTGACATGACTTTGTTGCACTAAATAATAAAAAGTAGATCCTGATAAATAAGCTCCATAGTGTTCATACTACGTTTGTCCCAGTTATCACCATCTAAACATGAATGCGGCTGGTATTTCATAATTTTAGACACACAATCATTGAAATGAAGTGTCAGTCAGACATGAAATATTGTTGTATTCAGCATTCATTTTGTGGTTCTCTTGTGTTATACTGTCTGTACAATATTATGTATTTTGTTCTCAATAGATTTAGAGTTTAATCTATTTCCAGAAGTAATTTTATTAGTTCAACAGTCACCTGAATATTTGAGATGACAGAAATGGAAGCATGTTGAAACTATCTAAAATTCTGTCATTGATGGGGTAACATCCTACCTGTTGCTGGCCACAGGCAGAGCAATCTCAAACTTGGCCAGAAACTGGAAGTACTGTTCTTCAGTTTGCTGGGTGAATCCTGTTCCCACCAACAGCATCTGCACACAAAGCCGGCCCCATCAACACACACACAAACACACACACACGCATGCAGGCAGGCCCAGCTAAAGGACTAACTCCAGCGTCGTACCCTGAGCTCCTCAGCCTGGATCACTCCGTTCCTGGCAACAGAGCGAGAGGACTTGAGGTGTATGATCCTCTCCATGCAGTCTGACAGCCACACCGGACACAGGAAGTAGAGAGTGCACAGGCCATGGCTGGTGTCAGGGAAGTGAAGCAGGGTCCCCGTTTCAATTAAGAAGCTGATGGCTAAATGGAAAAAGAGACAATTCAGCGTTGTATGTAAAGATTAGGCAGAAAGACTGGTCTGTGGATTTTTAAAAAAATCTAGGCCAGACCATTTTAGACATGGGAATGTGTTTGCAAGGAGACATTTAAACTTTTATGGTGATAGACTACACAGTGCTTTGTCCTACACTGTCACACTCCAATGGAAACATAGGAAACATGGACCAGCCCTCCATTTCAGGGTTGACTTCCTCCTGAGGAGCCACCCTTTAAGGCATCACAGATTCTACCTTCAAGATAGTTGAACTCCTACAGCTGCTACACTGTGCAGCTCACTCCAAGTTTCTCCCCCTTCGGTTTGTGCCGTCCTGTATAAGAAAGTATGTGTGGCTCCAGCTGCACACTAGTTACTGGCCTGACCAATAACAGCCAGCCATCCATTGCTGTTATTTCCTCTCCCCATATTCCTAACCACAGCAGTGAGGCAGAGGTCCTTGAGGCCGATTCTGAAAGCTGAAGGGATGAAAAGTCCCATTACCAGTCTGCAGGTCCTCATAGTCTCTGATGTCACTTCCTGGGTTCAGTTCAATGACAGAGTCTAGCTGGGAGTCGGTGAGGTACTGGACCTCTCCCTCAGAATCTCGCCTTTGCTTTTCTGCTTTCACCGCTTCCTGAAGATTCAAGTAGCTCCGAGGAATCTGACGAGGATAGAATGGGACAGACAAAACCTCTGTCACAGGGGATGGGGGTGGGGAATGAGGCTGACCGAGTACAGACCCCAGTCAGGGCGTGGAAGAACTCACCAGCCTGCCCAGCAGCTTACTCCTACCGGCCGAGCCGCTGTCTTTCATAGAGAGAGCCACGTGGTAGATCAGCGTCTTCAGACCATCGAAACCCTCCAGCGTCTTACATGAAACCTCACTGAACACAAAGACAGACACACACATACAGGGTGAAACTCAGCAGCACCTGAACATCTGTCCAAATCATATTCATACTATTCTTTATTACAGTTCAACGGAGCTTGAGTTTTGTTCGAAAGCATAGCAGACAGTCCTGGTTGCTCTGTTTTAAAGGTTAAATACATTATTCCTATTGTATTGAAAAGTTATACATCTCCCATATCCCAACACCGGGTTGTTAAAAGGATTTGACAGAAGTGTATTGGTGACTATAAAAAGATATTTAGCATCCCATTGACATGTGTACATAACTATTGTTGAATTGTTTACCGATTTTCTTGTAACTGAATTTCTTAAATCAGGATTTGTTATGTTGGGTGCTGAGTTGATTCATGATTGGTGCGCATGTAAACAGGCTTCCAGATCGAACCGATATCATCTGGCAAAGTATCAGAAAACCTCTGGCTCTGCACGACCGAACAATTCTGTGATGGTGTTTTGTTTAACAGAGGCTCTATTTAGCTGACAACGTATGGCAATGAATGCATCCGTACGGCTGTGCATGTGCAGGGCTCAGTCACATGTGTGCTTTTGCAGCTGTGATGTTCCACAACCATCAGGGCAGACTAAGAGTAGCAGTCTAGTGCTGATTAAAGCTTGGGACTTGTAAAAAAAAACACACTAAATCATAAATAAAGACATTATAGATTTGATAAAAGGACCAAGACTTCACACCCTTTTATTAAAGTTGCTAAAGTTACATAGGCTGGAATCTGTAAGTATCTCCTATGAGCTAATGAATGTAATTGTGATTTGACAGAAAATGTACCTCTGATGGCAAGATAGTGCTAAGAGCTTTATTTGCTTATTACAAATGTTGTCCTATAAAGCAGCGCAGTGGGAAGGAAAATGTGGGTGTACTTACTGTAGGTGTTTATGGGTGATGTCAGGATAGCCGGTGGCTCGGGCTCCTGATGGCGACCGACACAGTGCCAGAACATAAGCTCTCAGCGTGGCCAGCCTCTCTGTTCGAAACTTGGTGTCGATGAGGTCCAGATGTGTTCCCACAACCACCACGGCGGAGTTGGGTGCCCGAGCCTCCAGACAAAAACACAACACATTTCCTGTGAGTTAGGCTGAGAGATAGGATGGTACAAACAGGACTTTTCCACACCACCATACACCTGGTGGCGGTTTAGGGAGAAAAACAGACTCCTGTCCACCAATCTGTCTGTGAGCGTGTGTGTGTTCACCTCTATGTTGAGCAGCCAGGTCTGCAGGCTGGCCACGGCCTCCTCCCCCAGAGCCAGGTTCCAGATCACCACATACAAGGCTTTATCGGTGAAGAAACACTGGTTGATCGTGGTCATGCTGGCCGGGCCGCCGACGTCCCACACGTTGAACACCACCGAGTCTCTCTGCGTGTGAGGAAACCGCGGTGATTTTAGATGGAGCGGTTCTAGGCTAGAGAGTGTGTGCGGGTGTCCCTCACGTTATTTTTGCCAGCGTTGGGTCTGTCCAGATCCCAGGTGGAGGTGGAGATGCTGCATTCAGCTGGAGTGAACGGGGAGGCTTTTCCGGTCAGGAGCGCATCTATGAGGGCCGTCTTCCCCTGCCTCGGAGGACCAATCACGAGCATCTTTAACTGCTTACAAGGCTCGGCTTTCCGAAGGAGTGCCCGCAGGAAGGCCAGGACAGATGCAGGACCTGAGAAAGTCCAAATCACATCACTCAGCTTAAAGAGGCACACATAAAACACACAGGCACATTTTCATAAAACCCATATTTAAAATATATCTCTGATCGCTGTTTATAAAATAAAGAGCCAGTCTATTGTATCTATTATTATACAACACTACTACCATATAATGTTTTATTTATTTTCTATTTATTTAACAGGCTCACCTATTAAAATGGAAATAGCTTTATTTGTTAGCATTTTGAGATGTTTTTTACTTCTCCTACAGACGTATGCAAAATTTATAATCAGATTTTAGCTTTCCTGAGTTAAAGTTTGTTTCCCTGGGAAATAGTATGTGGTATTGGAATAACTAAATATATACCTGCAAACATTCCACCAGGCATGCCGTGTGCTTTGAACATGGCGGTGTGAACCAAACAGTACCTTCTCTCCTCACCGCTGGGGGCACATTGGTAATATTGAGCTCTTCGATGTCCAGCTGCCACAGGTTGGAGAGCTGACCCAGCTCTGGTGGAAGGTCGCGGATTCCAGGATTGCTGCCCCCAGAACACGAGAAACACAGTTCAGCCCCCTCCAGGTAGAGACAGGACATGCCAGACAAACCACCCTCTGGGCGTGGCCACCTGTTCTCATCGGCTTTGTGAAATGACGCTGTTCTAATGATCTGTCACCGACAGAACCCCGTTTTATTGTGCAGCTCTGTCATTGGCTTTTCTGAGTTCCCGAACTTTAAGAGACGATTAATTCATCCTGTGAGCAGAGCAAATGTGATGCCCAAAGACCGATTTCATCTGGCTGGATAAAGTACTCATGCTCTTTACTTCGTTAGCTGTTCTTTTCAAGTTATCCTAAAAGGTTTTGTAGCTGTAACATAAGTATACTGCCTGTATCAATGCCAAAAGAAAAAGATCCCATTATTCTCATTGTCAGCTCAACAAATGACTTGATTAGCAACTGAAGTCATCATTGTTTAGACTGTACTTTATGTTTTTTCTGCAGTGCACCTCAGCATTGTGCTGGCAGACAGAAGGAGGGGCTTACTTGGACAAATAGAGCTCAGTGAGGCTGTGAAGATCGCACACTGACTGAGGAACACACTCCAACTGGTTGTCGCTCAGAGACAAGACCTCCAGGGAATCCCGCAGAATGGTTGGAAACTCGATGGGACACACTGTAACACACAGTTACACGGAGGGTCACGGTGGGCATGAGGACGTCCTTCCATCTCCTCTCTGCAGCATATCGGACATGCTCAAAGGAATGTGGGGGGTTCAAGAAGGTTACAAAATTTTAATGTTTCTGGTGGGCTTCTGGTTTTCAAAGGAAAACTAAAACGTCCTTACCGTCAGATACTCAGCACTTTACTCGGTGGCAGAGTGAATCAGCTTTGGTCATGCACACACATGTGAGGGTACAATGCTGAAGGCAGTAGCTGATCCTCCTACACAAAGTTCATCATCTTATGGAAATTTAGCCCATAGGCTTGGTTTAGCCTATGGATTCTGTTTAGCCTGTTTAGGGGCGCTGTTTAAACCAAGAAGCTCCAAACGGTTTAGTTTGATATTCGGAGCCAAAGGGGGTCAGGCATGGTTTGTTAGAGGTGCTCAGTGGGCTACATTATCTTTTTTTCAGGGGACGAATAGCACATTAGCAAAGTTCTGAACATCTGATGGAACAAATGGGATTGGACATGAAAATGGATTAAACTAACAGCCTCCATGGACACAAAAATCAGAAAGGTCCACATTTAGCCCAACAGAGCAGATGGTATATGGACAGATGAAAGAACCACTCATCTCAACGAGGTCCCTCTTCAAGAGGCTAAAAAGGTCTCCCTTAAATACCATGATTTGTTTACCAGTTTCTCAGTTTGTGGTTCTCTGGCAGGAAACAGAAACTACCGTACTTTCAAATGATTGATGGAATGGTGAGTCTTGCAGCTGATGCTTTCGGTATTTCAAACAGATTTAGAGCACATCTACCTGGATCTGGGTCCCTCCTGCTCCACGTAGTCAGGAAGGCCTGCCTCCTGGTTTTGGGCACTTCGTTGGTTCTATAGGACACAATTTTAAAAACAGCCACCCTTATATTAAAAGTGCGTTAACACTTAACTCTAAAAATGTCTGTGATGTAGAATAAAAAGAATACGCACGGAATACAAACAACATACACACGTGATTCCTTCCATATCAATCAAACTCTATGGAGTTGTTTAGCTATTGCTGAGTCCTTTAGATGATGTAAACATGAGGAAGACTGTGTGTGTGAATAAGTGGACATACTTGCCAAGCTGGTTCCTGGAAAGATCAAGGGACCTGAGCTTTGAGCACTTCCACTTATTGGGGGCTGGAAGTGTAGCAATGCGATTCCCACAGAGTCTCAAAGAGGAGACTGCCTAAGGGAGGAGCACACAAATGGGGGGGGTTAGTGTAGGCAGTACAAGAGCTGCTCCGGCAGGCTGCTCATGCTGCAGGGACATGTGCAAACCTTTATACATACATAAATAATGCATCTAAAAGTATTTTATGCATACTCCAAACAAAAAAGTAACATGATGCTGTTGCTGCGCTCTTGACTGCGATGCCTCAGAAAATGGGATACCCTGTGTATTCTGCCCTGTGTGGTAATATTTCAGGATTGTAGAAAGAACACTAATGTGGCACATCAGATGTCACCTCGGCAGTAAGAGAGCGTTTATGTGGAGAGTGATTGCCGCACTGTTTGTGACGGGTGTCTGACTGGTGCTGCCTCTGACCAGAAGTCTTTTACAGTTGGTATGAAATCCTCTGGACTGGCACCTTGCTTGATCTGAAGCAAATGTCCCATGAACCTTTTCAAGAAAAATTTCTCTTTTGATAACCATCATAAGCCAAAAGGAAAAAGTCAATGACACAAAAGAACTAGAAAATGATAAATGGCCCAATGAATAAATCATTAAAAATGAATAAATTAGATATAATTCTATATGCTTTTCTTATTTCTATATATCTTTGTTTAAATAAACCATTCATTAACCACATTTTATATTTTAAGTGACCATCAAATTTTCTTTGAGTATATTTTTAGCTCCTTATTATATTTCAGAATGGTCCAAAAGCAGATTAAATTTGGCCGTGAAACTCACTATAAAGTCTGACGCCGATCCAAAAACTTAATGACATGGTGGTTGAAGTGAGAGCAGGCATATCGTTAAAACGCTGACTTTACTTCTAAATGTGCTTGTTGCACATTGAAACACTGCTGCTAACAGGTATGGATGTTTGTACAGATGAGCAGATAAACAAGGGATGGAATTATGTAATGTTTGGATGACAAAAAGTACCCCAATCCTGTGTTCTGTCTTCGCACTCACGGTGTAAAAAAAGACCAGGGACGAATCAAAATCTGCTGTCGAACACATGTAACATTCAACTAAGCGAACATGGTTGTTCTTTGGACAGTGATAAGAAGTCGGTGTCTTGAGAGAACAAACAGCCTGCTGGGAACTGGAGACTCACCACTGTGTAGCCCTAGCCCAGATACTTTGATCCAATTTAAATCTCTATGAAGATGGAGAGTGACAACCCACGTGCTGGGTCCTACCTCCAGTTCAAAGATGTATGAGGGAAGCTCGGTCAGGCGGTTGTCAGAGAAGTCCACCTCCTGCAGCTGAGTTCTCCAGAAGATGGAGATGGTGTTTGGAAGATGCTCGATCAAATTGCCAGAACACTTGCATCGTTTCTACCAGCAGAAGACAGAGGAATCGGGACCTCGGTAACTGTGGGGATACCGACCTGACCGAGTCATTTAGTCACCAAAAACTTACCAGTGGGCAGGCCCAGGGATCGGGGAAGGAGCTCAGGCTGTTTCCACTAACATCGAGGGAGCTCAGGGACTTCAGGCAGTGCATGACAACTGTGGGCAGACTCTTTATAAGATTATCGGACACATCCAGCTCCTCCATCTTACGAAGGCCGATCCAGTTCACACCTGATAGGGCGGAGTTAAAGAGCACAGCCAAACTCTGGGGTTAGACTACTTTTAAAAAAATGGCGATCAGTTTCGATCTAATAGCACATACAGTTTTCAGCAGGCTCAAATTTACATTGAGGCTAAAGTTGTGCAGCACTTTTGGACGTCTGAGTAAAACAGAAGTCTGTGCATCAGATGGCAGATTTATCTGTTATTGTAATTTTTTACTACAGATTTCAGAAAAGCAGACAAAGCACTTTGAACTGAAACATGCACCTGAGCATCAACGTACCGTCAGGGAGTTCAAACAGCACCGTGAGCTGGTTCTTAGCAGCAGAGAGTTTCTGGAGGCGGGTCAGGTGCAGAAGTCCAGTTGGCAGACTTTTCAGCTGGTTCTGACAAAGATTCACCTGCTGCAAACTGAAGCAGAGACAATGTTTGGGTCACCTCTGACAGTCCCATTCACAGCTGACGATACTCGAGCTGACAGAAAACCCACTATTTTGAACACCTCTCAGTATTTATCAGAGAGAATTTGACGTGATCGTGTCGTGCCACTGTACCCGGAGCAGATGACATCCTGAGAGTTCAAGGCAACAGGCAGCTCCTTCAGGGCATTGCTGGACAGGTCCACGGTCTTTAGGTGGATGAGCCCCCATGGGACCACCGAGGGCAGAGCTGCTAGGCTGTTGGAGGACAGGTCCAGGTGCGTGATGCGAGAGGAGACATCCATGAACCAGTCGAGCTCCAGCCAGGGCAGCTGCAGACCACTCCAGCACACACACACGGTCTGTGTGCGAACAAAATGGTTTTCAGCTCCGAATGTGCAGCTTTCAGAGGACCTATTTCTACTATGTAAACGATTTTCACATCCAGAACAAAGGAGTGATAACCATTCTCACATAGACACCTTATGAAGAATGGCGCCTTAGACACAGACCTCGTCTCCATTGGCAGAGGGGGTTTCCTGCAGCTTGAGCCTGAGCAGGCGTTTGCTGAAGTCTGGGTAGTCCATCAGGGTGTACGATGAGAATCCCGCCCCATTTTGTAGCAGGAAGAGGCCAATCTCCTCATTGCCTATGACAGAAAACACACTGTTTACCAGGAGGGGTGGTAATCGCTGGAAAACATGACATAGTGAGTTTCTCCTACTGGTCCAATGTGCTTTCTGCTGCTCTGTGGTTAGCTTTGAACAATAAAACTAAGTGGATTTGTTGGAGGAGAGTGTGAACAAGATGCCAGAAAATGTTTAGCCAACTAACTGTTATCAGTGCAGTTAAGAAATGCTAAGGAACTACACCTTGCTTTTAAATCCTTTCACGGACATTTTCTGAACTTATTTGACTCTTTTTGTGACTTTTATCCAATCTGCTTTTGATCCCCGTTTCCCTGATCATGATCAATTAAAGGGATCAGAGCAAGAGAAAGACTTTCCAAACTATCACATTGTCCTGATGTGAACAAAGGGTACCACCAGTAAAAATAGAGACAGAACACTAGAATGGTACAGGTATGACATTTTTTGAGAATTGCACTTTCACCTCTCATACTTGAAGAAAGGTTACCAACTTTCTTGTGAGATAAACTGATTAATCAACAGTATTTTCAGAGGAAAACCTGCTGAAAAGAGAGCATGGCTAAGACCTCAGTATAAAAACCCCATTAGAGCCATGATTCTGCATCTAATAATGTCATATTTGTCTATTCGGAGTAACCTGGTGCTGCGGAATGCTGTGAATCTTTTAATGCTTTCACAAAAAGAAACAGAAACTTCTGTCGTCAACTCTCTCCCAACGCTGAGAATCTGAGAAAGGTATTACTGAGAGAGTGCGCGTGTGTCTCCATACTTGCTTGTGCAACGGCGTACAGTGGCAGCCCATTAATGACGGCGAATTCATCACTGTGGATGGCGAAGTCCTTGACGTCAGCACTGTATTCTCGGACGAGGAGGCGGACCACGTCCAGGTGACCTTTCTGGCAGGACGTGGCCAGCATGGAGTTCAGCAAGTCTCTCCTCAGCTGCGGAGCTGACAAGCACACGGAGCCGACGCCAGTTACGGGAGATTTGCTGACACGGGCAGATGTATTCAAAGAGGTTTCCTCCTACCAGGCACAGAATCCAGCAGCGCTTTGACCAGGCTGGTGTGACCATGGTGTGCTGCCACGATGGCTGGATTGCTGTGAGATGGTTCTTGAGGCACAGAAACCCGGGCTTCTTTTAGGAGGTAATGCACACTTTCTAAGTCACCATGCCGAGTGGCCAAGTACAGGAGACGTACCTTTAAAGAGAAAACAGACAATATGGTGATTCAGGCACAAACAGTTGTCAGGAAAGGCAGGTCTGTATAGCACAGTTCATGTACAGGACAAGTCAACATGCTTTACGTAAAAGATTAAAGAAGAGAATATCGTTAAAAAGTGAGAGTTTAAAAGCAGAAAGTAAGAAGAAGTTTAACAAAGAAAACATTTTGAAATCCTTGATTACATCTAAGTGTTTTCAGCCTGGATTTAAGCACGGTCAGAGTTTAACTGTCCATGTTGGATGTGGAGTGATTTCAATTGTATTTTTATTACATTACAAGAAATGACCAACTCTAGGCACTGCAAAGATCCAGTCCAATTCAGGCTAATTAGAATCCTGTTCAATGTAATACAATCAAAATCAAAGTTCACTAAGTTTCTGATGCATCCAAACCACACAGCCAACTAAAAAAGGTTCCTAACTAAGAGAGACAAACAGATTGAATCTTCTTTTCAATTCTTATAGAAGACTGACCATGGGATGCTTCGGGGTCACCTGAGCCATCCTTGACTATAAGCTTCATCAAAAAGGTTTTAATACATTTATAGTCATTAGCTCTATCAGATATGATGGAGCTCGGTCATTCAGAGCTTTATATGGGGGGAGCAGATGAGCCAATGGAGAGGAGCTAATATTGGAGAAGCATGATCTCTGGTGCTGGTATCAGGAATCTGGCTGCAGCATTTTGGATGAGCTGGAGGCTTTTCAAATACTTTTTGGGACAGCCTAAAAATGAAAGAATTACAATGGTACAACCCTGAAGTATGAAAAACGCATGCGCTAACTTTTCTGGACATCCATCTGTCCACAGATAGATGAATGGGCAGAAACATGAATGGATGGTTTCTTTGTGCTTAACAGTCATTAGTTAAAATACTATTTCAAATTGTACAAGAGGAGATGTTTGTCATGGAAGATTCTGGTAGCGTTATAGGAGGAAACACAGAGGTTCAACCAGAAAAACCTGTTCGGAACAATCATTTTATTCCAGATCAAGTTCCCCAAGTGATAAGGCCCAACAACGACACTAAGTGTGAGGTAAACTACTGGTGATTTGGAGTAAATAATTTCATAAATGAGCCCTCGAAGGGGGCTTTTCTAAGAACTGAAAAACATAAAGAGAGCAATTGTTCTGAAAAATCCTTTATAGGCTAAGATCACTAAGCAGGTTACAGGTATTTGAGCTGGCCACAGGAATGGTTGGAAAGAGAGGCACTGAAGACTGGGCTGGAATGCTGACGTCATAGCACTTCCTTTCTGGATGGAAGCTCGGCCTGGCAGATATGGGTCTGCAGGTACAAACCACAGCCCAGCTGGCTGCTTCTATCCCATAATATCATTGCGTTTCTTTCGGTCCATTCTTTTAAACCTTTGTACACACACGATATAAGGAAACCATAGCAGCCAGCCCTAAGAGCACTCCCCAAAAAGCACAATATATGATAGCTTTATTAGATATGAAGGGTTTTCTACCACCGTCTTCCAGCTTTCTGGATTTGGTATGCAGACTTTTTGGGTTGGGCGTTTAACATCTAACGGAACACCACCAACCTGTCCACCTTTGTAATTATGCAACCCACTCAGTCCATTGTTTCAGAGTTAAGAATCAAGTCATTAGAGGCCCCAACGGCCAGAGGTCAAAAGAACCATCGGTCACCAAATTAAATGTTGCATAAGTCTGCAGTTTTGCTGGAAAAAAACAACTGTGGACACCATTGTATTGAAGTAAATACAAGAAAGCTGAGAGGAAAAAAAAGGCATCCATGAAAGTACATAACTGCTTAAGATGTTTCTCTTGGTTATCAAAGACCTGTCGGCTCTTCCACCTCTCAGTTTGCAGATAATACTAGCAGCTCAAATCAGACTGAATCTTTAATTCACAGCATGAATGCCAATAGTATAACATTTTACATAGTTCCAGTGACATTCTGTGACTCATCTAAAATTCTTAAAGCTCTGTCGAATAAAAAGTGCCATCGGACAAAGTGAGACGTCGTCTAAAGGTGAAAGCTTTGGGTTTGTTCTGCTCTGAAGGGTCCAGTTCACTGCCATCTCTCAGATCTGTCTAGCAGTCAGACAGAGCCAGAGCAGGAAAATAAACGGAGAAACCCCAGACCTGTCATGCATACTGCTGATGATCAGCTGACTGCTAACCCCAGAAGACAGCCTTTGACCTGGTGCCTGCTCATTCATGAGTGGTCTCATTCTGTTTATGTTTTTGGAGGCATGTCGATAATGGATGGCAGAACCATCAACTTGCAACAGTGTCTCACAGTATCAGTCCGCTTTCTTGTTATGGGAAATCCCAGATCCCAGGGTGTAACAACCAGAGATGCAGACTCACGGCGTCGGGGTAGATCCCTGCAGAGCATTCCACGCAGCAGGCCTGTTTGATCAGCTCTCTGGCAGCCTCCTCGTCACCGCCTTCATACGCCGCCTCGATGCCCTCCAGTTTGGAGAGGGGCCCAAAGGCTTCCTCCTGTGAGGCCTTGGCCCCCATCTCCTGCCCGCTGTCTGACAAATGAGAGAAAAGGAGGGGAAACGGGGTTGTTAACGCATGCTGCTGGTTCCACCCTGAGTGGGCATGACGCAGCCAGATCTGGGTCATCCCATTACAGACTGACCTCACGCCAAGAAGTACAGCTCAGCTGAGGGAATTAGAGTCCATTGTGACCTACTGGTTGAAGGTGTAATTACATGACGTGGCATAGGAGGGAAAACCTGATAGTTAGCTTTTAGTTTTTTGTGCTTCTACAAATATATGAAGGAGCGTAAATCTAATAATTTGTTTTGTTTTATCTATTTGGATTTTTTTCTGCTATCTTTTTTTTCTAGAATATAATTGTCGGTATAGTTTATTCTTTTTACATGTACTTTTCCTCAAGTTATTCGATATAATTAGTAATTTATATTAGTTTATGTGGTTATTTAGTAATAAATAAATTCTATATTTTTTTCCATTCAAGGCTCTATATTGGCATGACCTTTTTCATGATGCATCATGCAAGTGTTCTGCAGCTCACAGACTAGAGGTAAATGTTTTTTTTTTCCTCTTTCGCACATAGTGTTTGTATTTATGGTTTACTCAGGGCTTTTTTCTGTCTGCTCCATGAAGTTTTTAAATGCATTAAGCCTCCTTGGATTTTATTGATGAATCACGTGGACAAATGGTTTTGTTAATGGAGCTTGGACTCAGGCCAGCTCCACTTTAAGAACCTACAATATCGATACACATATATTTACAGACAGACAGACAGACAGACAGACAGACAGACAGACAGACAGACA